GTTACGGGCGGGCAGCATCTCACCCTGGGGGACCCGGGCGCGAGCCCCCGCACCCCCCGCGGGCCGGTGCGGGGAGATGGGATGGGATGGGATGGGAGGGCAGGCGTGGCTCAGGCTGCTCTCCTGCCTCTGCTTTTTTCCTCTTTAATGCAATCTGAGCAGGAGCCAGAAGGAGCAAGGTCACCCGCGCTCCGCTGCGGTTTGAAACTCCCCAGCCCCTGCCCTGGGGAGGCCTTTCTAAGGAATGAGAACAAAGCAAGTCGAAGGCTGACACGTCCTCAGCAGTGCTAAGAATGATTTGTCAGGATGCAGACCGCAGATTAAGTGATTTTGCAGGAGTAGAAATCATCGTAAAAATATAGCCCAGCTCTGCAGGTATTTATAGCTGCTGCCCTTTCCCAGGCAGTGGGAAGCCGTCCCACTGGGGCGGGAATGGGATGCCGCCCGGCTCCGGGCATCTCGGGTGTCCACAGAGGGTGAGCTGCACCCCAAGCTCTCTGCAGGTGTCCTGGTGGCTTCCCTGGGCAATCAAACCCAGCATGGAGCCCACCAGAACAAATAGACAGACCCCAGCAAAGAGCCGTGGATGAGCCTGCGTTTTTGCCGGAGGGGCTGGTTGGGTGCCCCCGTCACACTGCCCGGGGGGGTGTGGGGCTGCCGAGGGGCTGCCCGGTGCCATGGGCCATGCTGGGCTCCTCAAGATTGCAGGCAAGGGGGCTGCTGCTCCCAAAACAGCTCTGGGAGCAAAAGATGAGGTTTTAAATAAAGTCAGTGCAGAACCGCCAACATTGGGACACCGGTGCTGGGCGAGGGTCGGGGCATCCTCCGCTGCGAGAGCGAGCGGGGAGGGAGGCCAGGCCAGGCACGCTGCGCGTGGGCGTGCTTGTCACGACTGCTCTTGAACGCGTTGAACGGCTGTAGACGGGTGTCTGTGATGGGTGGCGCTGGGAGGGGTGTCCCTGGGTGGTGGGCGCTTGGTGCGGGGCGCCAGCACCGCCTGCGAAACTGGGGGTTAAGCTCTCGCCGGAGCCTGGGGATCTGACCTGGCTGGCGAAAGGTCTGGGGGTGGGTGGGTGCGGGCCGCCGGGGGGCC